TCAATAAAATAAGTTTAATTCGGTGAAACATGTACAGAAGACAATAATTTTCATTCACGAAGAGAAGTATTGAGAGTAAAGTGTCTCAGAAAATCATGAGTCAGGGAAGCATAAGCTTATTTATGTTTTAAGCCGGCTTCCCGGTGTTCGCTCTTTTTCAAGATGAACTCGAGGCATGAAAATCGCTCAGAGCTTTCTGTTTACAGCCAAAATCATAACTAAATAATCTTCGGAACCTTTTCTTTGAATTTGCGGGTCAAAAAATGTCTAAAGGCTTTTTAAACCTGATACTATTGTAGGTTAGATCATTGCTCCTGTTTTAATTTAAGCCGCATAAACCATACGCTCGACTTCAGGAAACCGAAAAAAAAAAAACATCAAAAACAATAATGGCTCAGGCTTACCAGTCGAGATGCTGCTTCTGAAGGTCATCAAGTGTTCCAGAATCGCTTGAGACTTTTCAACCTTTTTACGCCTCAAGCAAGGGCAAGTGAGTAAGCTCATTTTTAAAAACGATGCCATCCGAAATCGGATTTCCAATGACTTTGACAAGCGGTGCATTTGTTAACAAAAAGCGCAATAAACAAACCAGCCACGAATTACAGAACAATCTTGATAGCAGCTGTATTTCATTTTGTACACCAAGTACATCACAAGATGACACAAAACTCTCTCAACTCCAGCTATCAGTAAGCAAGTTTCCAGACACTGCAAAAATTTTCCGCATAAACTCACCTGTCAAATTTTGACCAATCAGAACATAAAAATTGGACGTAGAGCGTGATCAACGCGTGACAGTGAGAAAAGTCAAAAGCGATTGCCTTCCCTGCATGTAAATGTAAAAGCCGGTAGAATTTTCGTGTCCGAGATCAGTTCGAAATCAACATTTTAAAAGTGCGGCTCATGAAACACGACTTTTTTCATATCCATTTTAAAAAAATTGAACTTGAGCCTGCGATCATTTGAAAAGTAGCAACTTGTCCGCGAATACCTTCAAAATATTACTCGAACTCAGAGGGTCGATACCTGAGCCCGCGATACGGTCAGGCGATACTGGTCAGCAGAAACACTGTTTTGACAGCTGTCAATAAATCAAAACATGGATGAACAATATCAGGTTGCAGGCTCCCAAACTAGCTAGAAAGTGTGGGATTAAACATTGGTATGCCTGTGGTGCGGACGGACGGAAGGTCGGGTGGTCGGTGTACGGTCACGTGATTGCCGAATTTTCTAGGATGGATAGATTTTCTATAAAGCTATGGGGCTTCGAATTGAGCCCGTGATCAAATAAAATATCAGCACAAAACTTTAAACATTACGTGACCTCAATAGATAGAAAAATGAGCTCGCGATCCACTAGGTGATGATGGTCAGCGTATATTCTAGTTTGACAGCTGTCAATTAACCTTCATTAGAATGGCGAATATTCGAATTAACAGACTACGAGTGTGAGTAGGACATTTCCGTCCGGCTTGTAGTGGAAAATGCCAGATCGTGTACCTGAGCGAACCTGAGCCCTCGTTATTAGTTTTTTGACAGCGGTCTGCACATGTCCCATTTTGACAGCTGTCAATTGACCTTAATTTGGCCTGCCAATGTAACTTTAAACGATTGTCAGCCAACTGACAGCCTTGCCCGGCGTAGTTTCGTTTTTACGTTGAATTGGTAAGTGTGACATATTATATCAGCTTATATAGGGGCAAGACGACTGGTCTTTTATCTGAGCCCGCGAGACGGTCATGTGATAATTGTCAGCGGATGTCTGATTTTGACAGCTGTCAATCTAATCGTACTCTAACTCATACGGATGGCTTACATAACTAAGAAGCTAAACAAGTTGTGCAAGATCTATTGTGACATTTGACATCGGCTTACATGAAGTGTGTGTACGGACGGGCGTACGCTACGTCATAACCAAATTTTCTGGGATGGATAGTTTACCAAATTTTCTTACCCATGGTGCTCCGCTGCGCGCGCGCTTCGCGCGCGCGGGAGCTCCGCTATAAACCAACATACAAGCTGGACCATCACCGTTGAAATTGTACCTAATTAAGGCCTCCACAGTTCTTATTTTTTAGAAGTCAAATTTAATATTTTACACTGAGTTACCATTTTAAAAGTCTACTTAGTTTAAATACTATTACTATGCAAATGCATGAACTTAAAGCACTAGTTACCATCTTCATGGCCCTAACTAATTACACTGAAGTTCTTTGTCTCAACTTGAAAGTATCTAAAACGTCCGCCATCCTCGAAAAAGCTATTCCAGTAATACTTTTTCAAACAAAACAAAAGATTCAAACCACAATTACCAAATTGCCTATTTGTAGAGAGTGACATGCATGTTTATTTGTTGCTGCTGCCGGGAGAGTTCCTGAACTTTCTTGATTTACTGATACCATATTCAACAATTTCATTCAATGTTAATTCAGGCATAAAGAAAAATAAGAACAACAACAACAACAACAAATCCAAGACTTGAAGAGGTATTTCAGTTAAATATCAAGTGTAACGGTTTTGTTGGTGTCAGCAGCAAAAAGCGCTATTGTAAGACTGGAGGACACTGAGTGCAGAGGACGAGAATAAACTGCGTCAGGATTAGCTCAGTCGGTAGAAAAAAGTTTGACAGCAGAGCGGGAGGCCGTTTGGGTTCGATTCCTGTGGCCGGACCAATACTAAGGGTCTTAAAAAAGGTCAGTGCCTTTGTCCTAGCTGCAAACGGCTAGACCTTCGCTTGCCCTCGGATGAACTCGTATAAAATGCAGTCCCGTTTCCAGTAAGTAGGAGACGCAAAAATAGTGTCCCCTACCAAGGATACTTTCGTGCTAAATACATTGACACTGAAATAATACATCAATACAAGTGACTGTATTTTTTTTCAATTCACCCCTCTCAGTCCTTATGTTCTCTGGACATTATCTTGCTTTCACCTAATCTGGTTATAAATCGAGAGTAGCCAATTTTGTCAGTTTCTGTATATTTGATTTCAATTAAAAGCGGTAACGTGAAATTACATTGCGTATCAGTCCTTTCAGAGTAATACATCCAGAATAGCATATCAAACAAGCTTTTAGATCCGCAAGAAATGACCCATCTCCTCCTGTCAAAAGTCAAATGAGAGGTCCTATTGGCGGTAGGACACGCAATACCTTCCGGGTTATCCATCCGTCCTTTTTTCCTTCTTTTTTTTCTCGACGGAGAAAGTTCATATGCCATGCATAGGCGACAAAATCCCCGTGTATTAAAGACCCTTTACCCTCGATCGCCTCAGCAGTAAAGAGTCTTTGATACGCGGACATTTTTCCCCTTCATTCGCCTGACGGCTATGCCATGCTGATGAGCCCCAATAAGGGCGAAACAGCTGTCCGTGGCTGCCACTGCCCGGGTAATATGGCTGCGCGCATGCGTGAGTTACTGGTTAGGCCGTGGGTTGGTGCATGTGTGCCCCTTGCTTTAAGTTTGTCTTACAAAAGATAATGCAAAAGTAAGGTTTACATGAAGCATTACCCAAACTTCATTTTAAGGAATATTATGGTATTTTCCGCAATGGTTTACTTGGATTCCAAGCGTGCGTCCCCCAACCAGCATACAATTCATGCATACAAAAACTCCAATGTGAACAAAGTTTGCGTTGCAGATATAAGATTCTTTAGCTCAGTGGAGATTTGGAGATTGTTTTTGTTTGATTCACCATTCTCACATTGCTCATATGCCCCTACCATCTTGTTTAGCTCCTTCCCCCACCACCCTCCCCCCTCCCCCCGGTGAAATTGGAAACAATGGTCGACACAATGGTGAATTTGTTTTTACAAGGGATTTTTTTCCCTCTTTAAATCATGCAACCCCTTGACCAGAGGGTGAATGGAAGGCTCCTAAAGTTATAAAGTAGAGATTTAAAAATTTCTTTGTTTCAGTTGGTTGAAAAGTTTGTTGCTTTAGCCTTGTATTTGTAGCTTTGGTTACTAACGTCGTGGTCGATTCTGATTCGATTCGTGAGTAAGAAAACAAATGAACTTGTCCATCTCATAAAAAGATGAAGTTTCTACCTGAAGAGTGTGACCGGCTTGCATTAAACGAGGTGGGTATCATAAATCACCTTGACCAAAATTCAATCCAGTGCACGTATATTCTAAATTAGTATTATTTACTAATATAACATCTGCACTAAAATTAAATTCACTGAATATATATTCGCAGTATACAGTTTATTTAAGATCTTCTGCAAAAAGGTATAAAGTTACATCCCTGGAAACCGCGTTTTATTTTTATCATCTGAAATCAGTCTTCACTTCTATTCAGCCAATCTCCTGTTATTTTGCGGCTAGTATGAGAGTCTGAGTTATATTCCATTCGAATATCATCAATTATTAATGTCACTCATGCTGATAATATAACAGGAATAATTCTTCCTTTGTTTTAATACAGCGCGAGATATTCTCTTCACGCTGCCGTATGCCAGTGTTTCTAGGATCATACAGCAAACGAAAAAGCAAAATTTTACTAATGCATTAGAATAATGATTATATAATATAAATTATTATCTAGTTTTACGGTGGCTTTTTCTAGTTTCCATTGTAATTTATTTTATTTTATTTTTTTCTTGTTTCAGTCTCATTTGGCAAGGTAAGGCGCTTAATGTCATTTGCGAAAGGAAAAAAAAAAACAATTAGTGAGAAACTGAATAGCAAATTTTAAAAAAATAAAAATAAAAAACCTGTACATTTGTATTTGTTCGACTGACACAACATTTTAGATTTGTGTTGCCTGTTCTTGATAATTAGCCAGAAAGCTTCTCACTACACTTAACAGTCAATCGGCTTTTTCAGGGAGAAGCTCGTTTTACTTAAATTAAGCAACTATTTGGGAAAGATCGAGTATATTTAGTCACCTGAGTAGAAATCGACAGAGGCATGTTTACCGTATCAACTGCTATTTGTTTGAGGTACTTGAGAAGTTAACCTGTTCAGTTTTCCCGGCACTTCACCATCTTTCTGTAAAGATTAATCGGAATAAATAGAACTTGTGCTGAGCGCCGAACCATTAGAGTCCATTTGATCGGTGCTTGCTGTTCTTCCAAGGCGAAACTGATCTAGTAGCCATTCAAGCCGGAGTTTATCCCCACTCAGCTTTCTCTCGTATTGCCCTTTCAAAACCCTCTTAAGGTCATTCTTCTCGTTTTTAAACCTGTTCTCAATTTCAAGCTTCTCGTGGTCGAATTTTAATTTCAATGTTCGCATTTCTAAGGAAAAGCACTTTTCCAGCGGGTGTTACGAAAACTAAGACCCTCGAAAACGAAGACCTAAGACCTAAGACCCGTCTTAGTTTTCGAGATTACGAAAACTAAGACCCCCTAAAATCGAATCCGTCGAAATATAAAGTCAAACTGTAACCGAAATAGGTCTGATCTGTCAAATTATATCATGTTCGATCCTTTCCACCGAGTTTTAGGTCAAATTTAACGGTAAATTTAGGGGTCTTAGTTTTCGTAATTACGAAAACTAAGACCCCTCTTGGTTTTCGTAATTACGAAAACTAAGACCCCCACCAAAACAATCTCTAAAGTTTCTACAAAGTCGAATTACGACCGTTTGAAGACTATAATCCGTAAGACAAACAAAAATTACTATCACACACGTGCTGATCTACGATCCGCTAACAATTTGAAGACTCGCTTAAAAAAGAGGACCAAAGCGATAGACTTCCTACAGATCTATTGTACACTGAAAATATGCCTTACCCCTGTTGGTCTTTAATTTTGTTGTTTATCCTTTAAATCATGAAATTGGCTTTCCACTGGAGATGGATGTTTTTCTTCGTGTCTCTGCGATCGAGATTGCATTACCTGTGACTATCACCTGAGGGGGTTTGTGTCCACCGCTTGTCGTGGACAAGCGGGGAGCGCGGGGAGGGGAGCGGGGGAGGGAATTGCTAGTCTCGTCACAGGCAGCCCAAGCGCACTATTTGTGGGTTCGGGCTTCAGAGGTCATTTGGTCAGAATATACTAGCATTATTAGTGTATTATCTGATGCCAAATAAATGCAAAAAGTCTTAAAGATATGAAGTCTTCTTGTTTGTCTATCGGTACTAGTAGCCTTTAAGATGAACGAAAATCGATATTTCTTGCATTATTACATGTGATTCGGGCCCTTATTGATCGAATTTTATCACATGTATTCGAATCTACAACGCTAAGGGAAAAAAAATCATGATCACGCGAAATATTGATTCAAAAAGCTCCCTTACCTTTCGTTCATAGCCACTCTGTGTCCTACGGCTGGTTTAAACGCCGTTTAGTCGACTTTCTTTCCATCGAGTACTGAAATAGTGTTCAGTACTCGATGGAAAGAAAGTCGACTAAACGGCGTTTAAACCAGCCGTAGGACACAGAGTGGCTATGAACGAAAGGTAAGGGAGCTTTTTGAATCAATATTTCGCGTGATCATGATTTTTTTTCCCTTAGCGTTGTAGATTCGAATACATGTGATAAAATTCGATCAATAAGGGCCCGAATCACATGTAATAATGCAAGAAATATCGATTTTCGTTATCTTAAAGGCTACTAGTACCGATAGACAAACAAGAAGACTTCATATCTTTAAGACTTTTTGCATTTATTTGGCATCAGATAATAAACTAATAATGCTAGTATATTCCGTCCAAATGACCTCTGAAGCCCGAACCCACAAATAGTGCGCTTGGGCTGCCTGTGGTCTCGTGTGGTCACAAAACCTCTCGCGTGAGTCGATGTTATTTTTTATTTGCCCGTTAAAAACCAAGGATACCGCGGGTAGGGGGCGGGTACAAAGGGGTACTCGGGTCAGCTTAGGAAGATGAAATTTTCGGAAAAGGGACATTTTCGATCGAGGAGATCCCGATCGAACACGCCGCCACGAGCAAGAACTCATGTGATCAATTTTCCCGCCGAAAATTATTACCCCGGGAATCCTGACCTCTGGCAACCTACTGTCACGCAATCTTCACTTTGTATTGATTGTTTGTTTATTTTATTGTTCTGAAATTAGAACTCCAATTCTCGAGACGATACTTTGTTAGTACAGGAAATTCATTCACTCATTCGTTTTTCTTTTATTATTTCATGAGTGATTTTAGCGATTATCCCTCACAGACTATTTCTCCTTACCCCCCCCTACCTTTGCATTGTAACCCGGTGATCTCCGGGGTGGCAACGATAAAAACAAGCGCTAGAAAAACGCAATGTAGCATATTCTCCTTTTTTCGCCCTTTTTATTAAAGCACTTTTCTATCTATGACCTGGCCAGAAAAGAAAAAAAAACCGTATTTTTGTGCGATATTTAACCGATAACGCCGATGACCACTCAGCGATCAGGCATTCAGGTCGCAGCGACATGTCAGCCCGCAACAAAGTCAAAAATCCATCTCCAGGAAAACCAATCTTATGACTTTAAGGATAAACAACCAAAATTATGGAGGTAAGGTATATTTTCAGTGTACAATTATACGTAGGTAGTCTATAGCTTTCATCCTCTTCTTAAAGCCACAATATAGAAATACGAGCTCCCCTAAAAACGCCTGCGTGGGAGGCTACAATATTGATAATGTATGTCTGCAAATTGTGAGCAGAAGCGGATCGTCTAGCACGCGTGTGATAGTAATTTTTGTTTGTCTTACGGATTATAGTCTTCAAACGGTCGTAATTCGACTGTGTAGAAACTTTAGAGATTGTTTTGGTGGGGGTCTTGGTTTTCGTAATTACGAAAACTAAGACCCCTAAATTTACCGTTAAATTTGACCTAAAACTCGGTGGAAAGGATCGAACATGATATAATTTGACAGATCAGACCTATTTCGGTTACAATTTGACTTTATATTTCGACGGATTCGATTTTAGGGGGTCTTAGTTTTCGTAATCTCGAAAACTAAGACGGGTCTTAGGTCTTAGGTCTTCGTTTTCGAGGGTCTTAGTTTTCGTAACACCCCTTTTCCAGCTGTTCTTTTTGATATTTCAAAACAGAGATGTCGTGCTCGTAACCTTGTATTTCCGACTCGAATTTCAACCTCTGTTGTTGAAGCATTCTGCGAAATTCCACCTCGAATTTACGTCTGATGTCTTCCTTTTCTTTAATAAAGCCCTTTTCCATGTCCGACTTTTCTCTTCTAAAAATGTTCATTAAATCGTTCTTTTGCTGTTTGAACCTCTGTCCCATGTCAACGATTTCCAACGCGAACTGGTGCTCAACTAGCTTGTGCTTATTGGCGTAGTGAGAATGCATTTTGGTCTTCTCTTGTTTGAGCGATTTCAACAGCTCCTCTTTATCCAGGCTCATTTCGGCATCTGATATACTTTTAAAGTGCATATCAACCTCTGGTTGCTCGTGATTATAGAGGGTCTCGAGGTACGCGTTCTCCTCGAAGTAAACATTCTCCAGATCGCCCAAGCCCTGCGACAATGTCCGCCTCAGCTCATTTTTTACTTCCTCGATTCCCTCCAGCTCTTTGCGAATCTTCGCTTCCATTTCAGCCTTTTCGGCTTTAAACCCTTCCTCTTTCTCCCTGAAAAGTCGCTCTAATTGCGCTCTTAATTCCTTCTTCTCTTTGATGTAATTGTCAAGAAGAGTCTGTTTTTCACGATCCCATGATTTTATCAATGCAGATTCCTCGTCTTCGAAAGACAACTTCAAAACATGTCTCGATTCCTGAAATTCCAAGCGGATGTTGTCTTTCTCTTTTAAGAAATTCTGTCGCATTTCTTCTTTCTCGCATTCAAAGGCTTTTCTCATGTTTTCCTTTTCCACTTCAAAAGCTAAACGCATATCATTTTTCTCGTCTTCGTGGGCGCGATCAACAATCTCTCTCTCCTGCAGAAATCCTCGAACAATTTCCGCCTTCTCCTCAAGGAACCTTCTTTCTATATCAGATCCATCGATCATAGCTAGATTTTCCTCCGAATTTCGTGAACAGTCGCTTTCCATGGTCTTGATTTTACTGATTAACCTAAGAGCGCGTTGTTGGAGAGATCAAAGCACATCACAGCATACAATTTCCTGCCGAGCGATGACCCTTGGTCGAGTCATTTTATTTGGCGTGATGATAACCCAAGACCAATGCGTGCGCAGTTTGCTGACCGCGTTTTCAGTTAATGGGCACTTCAAGAGATTTTTTGGCTGAAATTAATGATCAAGTCTTGGAAAATTAACATTCCATTTCATGCTTCACGGGAAACTGAGTTCAAGGAAATAATTAATAGAGTGTACTCAGCGATAAAAATACACTATCCCGGAGGGGGGGTACTTCCTTATAAGGGCTTAATGGGGACGTGCAGCCAGCCAGGGTATGTTTTGCGGGATTTTTATCTTAAACAGGGTATCGAATTTATCATTTTTTGTCTTATCAGGTTATCGATTTATCAATTTTTGTCTTAAACAGGATAAATGTCTTAAACAGGGTATCAAAAATCGGAATTCTGTCTTAAACAGGCTAGGAAAATCAGCAATATTTGTCTTAAACAGGGTCAGGGTATGAGGGGCCGCGCCGCACCTCCCTACTCAGGATATATCAAGTACCCCCCCGGGACACTATCGCTTCACCAGGTTTTGGAGTAAAACAAGATCTTGTAAACCGAATATCATGGAATATGCATATGCATGTGGATTAACAGCCTTGACGCTATCTAGCAAATCTCATTGGTTTTGACCATAAGAAGTCCTTGCTTCTGAAACAGCTGGCGATCAGAACCGAAACTAATCGATAATTTGCCCGATCGAAAAGACTTTTTTAGGCCAGTTTGAAAAGCGCCGTTGATACGCAACATTAAAAGATATTTCGCGCGCGCCATGTAAGAGTCAAAATCAATACTTTGAAAGCAGAGAACGCCATCCTCTCTTATCAAGTGTGTAACGTCTGACTCAGTTTTTGCTTTGACGTCATGACATCTGTTCCCTCAAAGGGCTTTTTAAAAATTCTCGAAACAATTGAAATTTATTTAGGATAAAAAATGACTTCAAAATAAAGTATTCGTAACTTATGAGAGGTCGACTTGTAGCAAGTCAAACCCGCTCGCTGATACATGCTTTCGAGTTTCCACGGTTTCATCTCGCAAGTACGTATGAGTGACCAGAGGTCATTTTGAGAGTGTACAGGTTCACTTAAAATTTTTTCCGTTTGAAAATATCACTAAAGTGATGAAATTCGTGAATTTGGCATTCTTTTGGTAGTAAAACACCTCTTAATTTCTGACTCTAGAACATAAGAACATTAATGTAATTGGTTCCTGCTGTTTTAAAACTTGTTTTAATAGCCTAACAGTTTTTCAAGTTCCGATTAGTCTTTTTGTCTCTAACTTTTGACATGAAGCAGGGATTTAGTCATTTGCAAAACAGCTAAGTAATTTCTTTGCTATAGGATAAGTTCCTTTGTAGAAAAGACCTTGTAATTAGCAAATATCAGGGTCGTAATAAGGTCTACTTTTTTGCCAAATGATCCCACATTTAGGCCGTAAATTTTGATCCCTGATCCCAAAATTGTTGCAAAACTTGATCCCTGATCCCGTGAATTTGTTTGATCCCTAGATTCAAACCGGGTTGGATTAGCTGCGTATACTTTATAAAAACTGCAAAAAAAAATTGTTTCCCTTTTTGATTTCTTTTACAATTAGTCACATCATTTACTGACTGGAGAATTAAGGTTGGTTCCAGTTTGTTCTTTAGAGCAATCATAGTTTCTATCATAATACGTTTCACTTAAGAGCTCTCATTACAATTAATATATCTCTACGGTAATGAACTTTTAGTTTAGTGCTCTGTTCGTGCCGTTTACGCCTTTCCTTTAAAATGCGATCAATTCCGCAATTCGCCAGCAACACAAGCAAAAGAAAACATCAAGTTAGTCTAAGGTGAAAGGGGCTTGTCCTAATTGTACACGTAGTTTGTCTCAGTCGTCGCCTTGGTAGCACCGGTTTACCAACTAAGGTGAGGTGTGCCACAAGTCATACATCACCATCTGACTATCCTCACGTTTCATATCGCGCATATTGGTGTAGGTAGCCTGAAGGTGCACGCACGCGGGAGAAAAGTTGTAGCGATGAAGGCGGCCCAGCCTAGGGGGTCTGGGGGCATACTCCCCCAGAAAAGTTTTAAATTTAGGGTCTTAGCAAGGCCATTTCCAGCGTTTTTTTGCAGGACATTTTCATAAATTAATACGCAGGAAAATGCAGTAGCTAGTTGTTTATTTTACCCATCTCTGGTGTTGTTGGTAAGATTCAGTGTTTATGGGAAAAAAGAGGCCGGTGAAGCCGTCAGAATCATCATGACGGCAATGAAAGGATCAAGCAAACACTAACACAAACACACCAACAATGCAAAAAATGTACCTATTTAATGATAAAAAAATGCATTTTCAGGAAATAAAAAAATATTTTCTTTGTTTTAACTATACATGTACACACGCGCGTATGTTCATTTATGGATGATACGCTCCTGAGATCTCTTACTACAGAATTCCACAAGACCAGGATGAATAGAGAATCCCTGTCGCTAGCGTATCAACAACAACAGCTTATAAAATGCTAATATAACTTGCAAAAGGTGTAGCGACAGAAAATTTGAAGAGTCTATCATGGCTGCACAATTTGCAGTGATTTATTTCCAGACTACAGGGATTGTGTTTCCTTGATTTTGGACGATTCGATTTGCCAGCTTTTTATCACGGATCAGAGCTTCTTCCTGGCAGAATATTTAATCAGAGCCACGAGCTTCATCAAGTTGCTATATCTTTCATGACGCTAGCTACTTTACGTTTGAAAGTAATTTGCATTTAGTGGCTTGAAAGTGAATTTTTGAATGATATTTTTGGGATCTGTTAAAGGAATTTTAGTATAAAGCCTACCATATATGGTGTCTTGAGGCTCATCAGTACAAGGTGCAAAGTGTCAACTACCAAGTGCAAAAAGAAAGTACTATGATAAGAGGATTTTGTCAATTAAAAGAACTGCGTCTCTTAACAAGACATCTTTGTTAAATATTTGCTTAGGATGCCTTTCTTCATCATCACACGACAGGTTAAGAAAGAGAGAAATTAGCAACTCTGGTAAAGGGCAATGTCCATTACGTACATTGTTTTTTTCCAGAATCCGTATTCGACAAGCAAAGACTTTGACCAATTCTTTAGCTCAGTCATCTTAGCTCCAACAAACTGAGTCAATAGGCCAACAAGCAGAGAGTAGGTAATGTGCTAAAAAAGACAACATGAGATAAATATCTTTAAATTCAAGCAAAGTATCCACAAGTTTTCCAGACAAGCTAGTCCAGCAGATCTGATTGCATTAGTACAATTTAGTACTGGATCGAAATGTTACAGCAAAAATACAACTGAATTGAAAAATGTTGACAGGTTCGTCCAATTAAGGCCATTTCAGAATTTTGTGGTCTTTGTTTTTCTGTTGGACAACCGGATCTCTGGTCTCCTTACAGTAATGCTGATCCCGATCTCAACGGCTTGTGATCCAAGATCCCGGTGCTGTGCAGTGATCCCTGATCCCACCCCATTTTTTGGTGTTGATTCCTGATATATTAAGAAAATGAAATGAAATATTAAGAAAATGAACTGGAAATCCGTGACACGCACACAGCTCCCGTTGATTAAAATGTGGGCGTGAAAACCAAATCGCTGTTCATCACTTCCGGTGAAGTCTCCAACGACCCTCTAACTCTTGCGGCCGTCAGTGTCACCGTTCTGTAGACTCCCAAACGAAAAAGAAAAAGGACTGCCTGATCGCAGGTTCGGCAAAAAAACAGTCTGAAAAGACCAAGGGTCAAAAAAGTTTCATAAAGCATTTTCTCATCTAAAAGAAGTGTTGTCAGAAGCCTTCAATTAATTGAAGGGCTGAGAAAAAATTGCATTATGGGTGGAATCAAGAGCTGCAGCAGACTGGGCGGGTATAAATCGAACCTCCATGTGCGATTAGCTCTCGTAAGCGACCGTCTCCCATAAGCGACCGCCAATCCAAAACATCAAAATTTTCCCAGTCAAAGCCTTACAGTTGGAATCTATTGTAAACTACCACCTCCTCGGTATATAAGCGACGTGACCACTTTCTGAGCCTGACGGTTAAAGATTTTCCATTGTTTTTAATCCCTTGTATAAAGCGACTACTTGACGCATTCTCTGATCTCTATTTTTCGCTGTATGCCCTATCTTACTCACAGGGTCCAGAGGAGTTTCGTGTGAATAAATGAAATACTTATTTAAAGTCTCACCTTGAAAAATGTCTATACCTTTCGCTTAGCACGATTAATTAGCCCAATGGGATCTTCATAACTCTACTGTAAACGATTTCTTCGCTTCTTATCTGACCCAGATCGACTTTTGAAAATCAATAACCGCAAGCCATATCCTCGCTGGCGCACGGCACGTCGCCAGAAGGGTGACCGAAGGCCGTTGCCCGAAGGGCGACCGAGGCACGAAGTGCCGAATAAAAGAAAGGATTTTATACTGTAAGCCGATCTTGCGAGCCGTCATTCTCTTGGTTTGCGGTCTATAGAATTTGTAAAGAAACTATAACGCGATCAGAGACCCTGTGTCTTACTTAGAACATACCAAGAACTTTAGTGACAACATGCAATATGATGTCCTATGTGCCTAGACCTTTTCTCGGAAGAAACCCCCCTGGCCCCTGTGGTTCGATTCTTGTAAACGACCAAATCCAATAAGCGATCACTCAGTCTTTGCATTTCGGTTGGTCGCTTACGGGAGGTTCGAGTGTAGATCTGAAATGATGTCTACAATAGGTATGTTTCAGGGGGCTGAAAAAGTCCAAAAGAGAACCAACTTTCGAGTTTGGGTGTGGTCATTTGGGGTTTTCTACCCGGGTCCAGGGGCCTGTTTCTCAAAAGTCCCGGTAACTTTACGGGCCCGAAATCAAATATTCAAATCGAAATATAAAGAATAAGAGCGAGGGTCCTGGCTAGCAAACTAC